CTGCTTGTAAAGACCAACAGCAGAATAAAATGTAGACCTCTAGAATTTCTAAGAAATCTATGAAATAGTGATTCTAGATCTGTTTTTTAAGTTTTTCAATACTGGGGATTAGATTCAGGGCCTTCACACTGAGCCACATCCTCAGCCCTTTTATTTTTATTTTGTGTCAGAGTCTTGCTAAGCTATGATACTGCTCAGACTGGGCTCAAATTCATAATCCTCGTGCTTCAGCCTCCCAGAGTGCTAGAAATGCCGATGTGGGCCATCCTGCCTTGCTGCCATTCAACTTTTGATAAACAACTTTTGGTGTTTTATGGGGCCTCAGAAAAGGCTGAATACCTATCTATGGGATATCAGTTTAGGCTGAAAAATCCCATCACGAACTGGGTGCCTACCCATGAGAGCTGGGTATACACAATAATCTATTATTGAGTGAGAATAGTATAAAAGAGAGCAAGATTACACAGATGCCACGTGAGGTGCACGTGCAGGAGGTTCAGGCCTGTCTTACTTTCTTAATGCTGGGACACTATTTGACACTCAGAACTTAAAGGAAGAGAGGTATTTTGGCTTTAATCATAATCTGCTGACTCCAAGGCAGGACTTCATGGCAGAGGGCACAGGAAAGGAAAAGCTGCTCATGCCGTGGCAACTGGGAACCAGAAAGTCAAGGGAGGAGCCGGGAAGGGAGAAACACCCTTCCAGGTTATGTCCACAGTGACCCGCCTCTTCCAACCAGACTCCACTTCCTAACAGCAAGTCAGTTATAATGAATGCCCCATAATCCAATCACCTTCCAAACACACAAAACTTAAGAGGTCGTTTCAGATCTGAACCACAACAAGACTCTTTCAACACTAAGTCCCTTTACAATGCCTCCTCTCTCCCTTAAACAATACCTATGGCTCTAGAAGTTCCTCAAGATCAGCTGACTGGAAGAAAAAACCTAAACCTGTTTTATAGATGAGCTTGCACCGATATGCTGGGCCTACTTGAAAGTGGACAGCTACACTGAGGAGCAACAGTGAAGGAAGTTTGTAACGGAGAATCATCATAAGGAAATAGACCTTAAAGCAGTCCATTTGGTTGTCTATTTCTTATGGACTGAGAGATGGCCAAAGTTACTGATTTAAATAGCTTCATGGGCAGTTATTAATGCTATGTTGAATGAATGAATGAATGCTATGCTGAATTAATGCTATGTTGAATAGTCAGCACCTTAGAAGATTACTGGAAAACTACTAACAATGAAATCTGGGAAGCAGTACATAGTTGAGACTGTCAGAACAGGTACAGACATGAAGATATTTATCTCCCATGTAAACACCCAAAATGCATCTACCCTGGATAAGACTGTTAATAATCAGGAAGGCAAAATGGCATGTTGTATGACAGCAGGAAGAACCTATGAGACACATGTGACAGCGGGCTGCATCACTGGAAAGCTCTACAAGGTTCACCACCACTGTTCTATGATGTCAATCAACCTCTTTCTCCAAGTATTCTAGTTCTTATCCAATGGGGTTATGAACAAAGTGAACATGGTGGCAGAAATGGAGAAGTGTTGGGGGAGGAAGGGGCTCAGATGCTAATGTAATATCTGGGTGCCTAATGTGCCAATAGCAAAACTAACACTGAGGTCTTGATGTGGCATCATTCCTCAAGTGGATAGTCAGCCAGTGGAGGTGGGTTATTTATACTGGACCTCTTCTATTATGGAGGAGGCAGGTGGTGGTCCTCACTGGAATAAACACATTCTAGAAGTGGATGTTCCTGTCATGCATCTGCCCTCACCATCATCCATGGACTTACGAAATGTCTAATCTTGAAACTCCAGGACAGCATTATTTTTAGCCAAGGAACTCACTTTTCAGCAACAAAAGTGTGGCAATGTTTTTTGTCTTCCCCAATAGTCAGAATACATGGTCTCATTTTCAAGTCATAGAAGGAGGAGTGGCTCTTCTCACTGCTACATCTAACAATTCATTCACCAAATTTCTGCTTCCTCTCCCAATAACTTTGCTTTAGAGTCTTAACACTTCTACTACTAGGCAGTATGACAATGGTTCCACTGAAGTAGAAACTTCCACGTGGATACTGAACCAACTGGTTGGAAAAGGAGTAATTTCACTGGCCCATGTGACTGACCTCAATTACTATCAAGGGGAAACCGGGTAACAGCAAACAGGGGTGAGAGGGACTATGGAGCCCAGGGACTCTTCTGGCTCCTTGTAGAACTTCCATGTCCACTAATAAAGGTTACTGGAAAAGAACATTAACAAAAAAGGGCGAGAAGGGGGGAGAAGAGGGGGAGAAGGGGGAGGGGAGGAGAGGGAGAGAGGGAGAGAGGGAGAGAGGGAGAGAGGGAGA